AGTTTGGGACGTGTCATTTGTTTAAAAACACGGTGTTTTATCTTGTCAGTGTTTCGGACATGTCTCTACTTGTTTAAATTCCGTCTGTTTTTCTTTCTTTTAAAAGTTAAAGTTTGGGACGTGTCATTTGTTTAAAAACACGGTGTTTTATCTTGTCAGTGTTTCGGACATGTCTCAACTTGTTTAAATTCCGTCTGCTTTTCTTTCTTTAAAAGTTAAAGTTTGGGACGTGTCGTTTTGTTTAAAAATACGGTGTTTCGCTTGGGGGTACGTCTCTACTTGTTTAAATTACGCCTGCTTTTCTTTCTTTTAAATGTATCACTAAAGTTTTGCCCTAGCTTACGTTCATCCTGCTATATGTTTTATTATTCCTTAAAACGTTATTAAAAAGAACACATTAATGCGTTTGTCTGGCTTTCTGATCAGGGTGATTGGTATACAAATAATGTCTTTGGGTGTGTCCAAAACTAGGTATTTGTTTCTTGGAGGCAAAATATAAATAGGCAAAGTAAGCAGTATATTCGAAGCGGTAGGTGAACGGTACTCGGATACATTTTGCGAAATTCCGAAGTGTGCAACCGATAGATGCTACGCTATCACACAAGGCCACTGGCATTCTCAAACATTTTTGTCAAGATGGTGGAGGAAGTGACATCTCTGCACAAATTTAAGCAGACAACAATCCAGTTCTCAGGGGTCCTGAATGCATTCATCAATTCCAATCCAAATCAGGAAATGGAACTGGAACTGGGATTGGAAAACAAACTATGGGGAACAGAATTGGAATTGATTTAGAATTTCAAAGAGATTTAAATTCCAACTCCTGTTCCACTTCCTGATTTGGATTGGAATTGATGAATGCATTCCGGAATGGCCCCAATCCTGCCAGTTATACAAGTTGACTGAAATATGTTTTTTAATTTTTTATATTTTAAGTTTTTAACTTTCTCGGGGGTAAAGCTACGTCATCGGTAAACATCTGGGTCAGGCAATATGCAAAGTGCATGCATACTGTTTTCATGTATGCATACAGTACGCACTACATTAATAGTTGAGTAGTAAGGTTCTAACAAAATTCAGTACGTATAGTGTTTGTGATTTCGGACACATCCGTTAAGATTGAAGTCAGAGCCTCTACAAACTTGATGACAGGAGTATGGATATAAAGGTGCCATTCCTTGTACATTCTTTGTTTCTTCCACAAAACAGATTGAAGTCAGAGCCTCTACAAACTTGATGACAGGAGTATGGCTATAAAGGTGCCATTCCTTGTACATTCTTTGTTTCTTCCAACCACAAGTACAGGGATGCAGTTTATGGCAGTAAAATTCGAAAAAGTCAGTGAAAGTTATTGTAAGACAGGGAGAGCTGGGACAGGCAGGTGGCAAATACACGCATCCAGTTCACCCCATTCCTGTATGGCAGCTGCAGGTCTTCCACCACCCAATATGCTCTGATTTATGTTTAACCCATGTTGACTCTGAAACCAAAGGCCCCATCTCATCCTCCCGCCCCCACACCACATGTCCAGTGCTGCCAAGCCTTAAGCGTCCCAATTTCCACCAAGAAGATGCTGCAGAAGATGCTGATGAGCGTGAGAATAATAAATTATTCCACTCTGTTCACTAAAACATTTAGCAGTCAAAAATGCACCTTTAAAACGCACTCAGAAGGGATTTCTGTCTACAGGGCTTATAGATGGCAGGCATCAGACTTTCAACACTCATTCGACAATCAAAAGGATTGTCCTGACTCAAGTGAAACACCAGAGTATGTAATTAATAAACAATAATTCTCCTGGAAATGATCACCAGACATTAAAAGGGTTTCCATACTGGAGTCTGTTCAACACCAGAAACACAGGAAGCAGTAAATCACAGGTACAATGGAGAGATTGTCGATGCAAATTTCAAGAAAAATTTGTCTTCCTCTCCATAGACTATATTTAACCCTGAATGCAGTGTGTGGTAATTTCCTGTCTTCGTGTCAGTGTGAATTAGAAGAATCTGTGATGTATCAGCAGCTTTCTGCCCAGTAAAAATGGAAGCAGATGCTTCTTTCTTCAAAAC